CTCTCTCTCTCTCTCTCTCTCTCTCTCTCTCTCTCTCTCTCTCTCTCTCTCTCTCTCTCTCTCTCTCTCTCTCTCTCTCTCTCTCTCATGTGTATATACCGGCACACATCTATCAACTAAAAGAGTGCACTTTGTGTAACAAACCATAAAAGCACAGAAGACAACATGAAGCGCACACTGAAACCATTCTTTTGATCATTTCTTCTTTTATCTAATATTTATTTGGCCTTTCTTCGTGCCCTTGACGTCAGCACACAGGTGATGGCTGGGAGTTTCTCTCTCTCGCTTTCTTTATCGAGGTACTATGTGTATAATACTATATATGTTTCTTTGGCTTTCTTCGCTCCCTTGAATCCAAGGATGGCAGTTTCTAGGGCAACACATCCAGGGTATGTTCATGTTGCATACTCCGATGAGTATGGGCAGAACCAAAGATCAACCAATATAGGATGAGCATGTATGCAGCGGAAGTCTGATAAACGAACTGACTCACATAGACTGACTCACATAGCATCACTCCACACACATACAATCGTGAGATGGTGGGGTCTGAGCCATACAAAGAAGGTGCTCAGCCCCGTACACAACATACACAGATGAATGGGGGAGGAGAGACGAAGGAGGTGGGGCAGGTAGACAGCACTGAAAGTCACCGAGATAGAATCTGATAGGTCACCGATATGGTAGTCCAAAACGTCATCCAACAAGATCAAAATGTCRAGGACAATAGGTCACCAATGTCGGAGGTACAGAGTCCAAATGTAACCGGTGTCCGAACTGCGATGCAGCCGAGTATCAACCCCAACAATCTCCAAGTCTCCAATCAGGTAAGTACCACAGTCTCATATCACCGAAGTCCAACTCTGATCTCTGTCCAACTAGTATAAGTATCCAATCTGAAGAAGAAGAAGAAGAAGAAGAAGAAGAAGAAGAAGAAGAAGAAGAAGAAGAAGAAGAAGAAGAAGAAGAAGATGAAGAAGAAGATGGAGTCTGAAGAGGGAGAGAGAGAGAGAGAGAGAGAGAGAGACGGAGGTGAGGAGGAGGGGAACCGGACCGTGGAGGGAGGAAGAGATCCTCGCCTCCTGGTACCTGCCCTGCTGCTGCTGAGGCGGCGATGGCCGCCGTGCTGCTGCTGCTGTCCTCGCTGCTGCCGCTGCACTAGCTCCCGCTGCTGCTGTCCTTCCTCCTGCGCTCAGAATAGCGCTCAAACGGCGCTCTGGCGCCGACCTTACCGCACCGCGTAGAGTGCCGGTGGGTCGATCCCCTGAGTGAGGCCGGACCGGTTCTTTATACCGGTGGGCAGAGGCCGGCCTCACTGCTGCGAAGCCTGGCTGTGCCCTGAACCGTCCAGATGGACGGTTCAGCCCCAACCGGCGGGCGGCAGCCTCAAGAGMSCCGCCAGGCCCAAACGGTAATGTCGTTTGGGCCTGCCTGTCGGGTCTGGTCCAAGGTGAGGCCTTTATGGCCTGTAGTACCCCAAGGTCGGGCCTTTAGGCCCTGATGTGTCCCTCTAGCCCTAAGTCGGGTCGAAGATGTAACAGTTCAACTTCAGAATTTCTCACATTTATGGTTCTGTTTCATAAATGTCATTGGTGCATCCAGAAATACGGTTCAATTGACTTAAATACCAACATATCAGACAGATCTTGGTGATAAAGGCAACCACACAGTTCTGAGCATGTAGACCTCCTACCTCCAGAAGGAAGCGAGCGCGGCGGTAGTACCCGAGTCCCGCCCAGACCTGATTCACATCCTGTTGGTAAGAATGGTTAACATAACTGCAAATCAGCCAGGCAATACTGGTGTGAATATGTTCTAATTCACATATTACTTTTCATCTTGAGGAAAAAAAGGGAAAAAGAAGAAGAAGAAGTTGGGTATGTTAAGCAGGATGCCAAAGAAACAGTGACAGAGCAAAAAAGAGGTGGGGGTGGAAATGAAGCCGCCGATATCAAGTCCTTTGGAGCATCCATTAAAATTGGAACGACGCATACAAGATTAGCATGGGCCTGCACAAGGACAACAAAAACAAAAAAAAGGGGGAAAAAATGCATATATCGAGCTCAAGGGAGCGATGACATGGGAAGAAGAAGACTACGCCTCTGGTATGAGGACAAAATAGGTCATCTGTAGCACTTTAATACATCAGACACACGGACACAAACCTAACCGTCTTCGCCCGAAAATAACAACCGGGCGATATGGATGAAATTCCGATGAATATAATGCCTGCCGGGCATTTTATTCATTTACAACTGTCGGGTGTCACATTTCAGTAAACTGGTAGCATCTTCGTTGAGGCCCAAACTTATGAGAAAAAAAAAAGAATGTTGTGTAGGATTGCCATACTGGCGCTCGAAGGGCGATTTTCCGGTACACCGCACTGGCGCTTTAAGAGCAGACACTGGAAGCTCTTCCAATGGCCTTGTTAACTCTTTGACGGGGACTTCTACAGTGGAATCTGATTTTTATGAATCGAAGCGATACAAATTTGTCGTGTTCTTGAGAAAAACTGGAAAAAAACAACCCCTAGACATTTGTTGTCTGCAGCAGGATTTGAACAATCGGTTTGCCCAAAAATGCCGTGCGGGGGCTCGGTCCCACGTACTTCTTTCGTTGTAGCTGCCTACAACAGAGCGACCGGTAGCGGCGCCGTGGGACTGTTGATTGAAGCAGATCGTACGGTCCTCCAAATGTGCCAATGTCAGGCTCTCAGTTGCGGTGGATACCGTTTCGGTGGACATCGTTTACTGGACGTTCGCACTACAGTTTGCCTGTGGTTCGTTGTAGCTAGGTACCTTTTATGCAGCGGGGTGTGTCTGTTGGTTTGGTTGTACATGTTGTTGTGGCGGCGTTCGTCTTTTTGCAATTTGTTTTGGGGCTTGCTTTCATCCGTTTTTTTAGGGATTGATGGGTGAGCGCAGCTCTGCCGGGACTTCATCATGGAGGGTGGTGAAGCTCTGTTAGGGAGCTGATGCAGATTGGAAAGTGGAGCACCCTAAATCGCAAGGAGGAGGGAGGGTTTTGCGGGAGGTAGAGTGCATCCGCTGGTTTGCAAAAGCACCATCATGGTGGGAGTTGGTGCCTTTTCGTAATGGAGAGTGTAGGTAGAGGTGCGATCCACCCTGAATCGCGGGGAGAAGGGTAGGTTTGTGGGGTCTGCGTCTGCAGTCGGAGGCCTGTGGATATGAACCCCTGCCACGCGGGTGGCAGGGCGGCTCGGTCGGAGGGAAAAGCGCCGGATGATTGCTTTTTTGGTTTCGCGTAGTATTTGGTTGGGGTTTCGTAGGCTTTTCATTGCAGTCGGTCTTCTGGCCCAGGAATTTTCAGAAACTCTGTTTTCATGTGAGGGACACCGGACCCGTTTTCCTGTTTGTATAATGAAATGGCAACCTCAGTATGAACCTGGCCGGAGTGCCCGGATCATAACGGATAGGTTGCCCATCCTTTCTTAAAATAATAATAATAATAATAATTCAACCAAAAAAAAAAAGGTTTTTATAAGTTTGTATTACTTTGTAAATTTTGAAACCATGGAATAACTATGAGTTGATAAAAAGAATTGCGCTGAACTTGAATTTCCACTTTTCAAAAACGACGACCATGGTGCCTCGAGCGCCCCGCCCCCACCTCGCACAAAACCGACGAGTATCAGCCCCGCCATAGCTCAGCGTGTCGAACAAAGAAGCCCTGCGCGCGGACGCCTGGCGCGCGCGCTTAGGACATCAGTACTACTAGCCAAGGTGGGCGGGAAGACTACGAGTCCCACTATGTACCTGACAGCGAACTTGGCAAAGGGGGATGCTGACGACCGACTTTAGGATTCTCAGCTGCTTCTCCACCAAGGATCATTCGGGTGGTACTCGGAGGAGGTCATACTGTTCATCAAGCAAATTTGTCCGTAGTTTGTCTTCAACACAGTACTGTTCAACGAAATACGCGAGATCCAGCGGAACGGCCAAAACACACACCATCGTTCCAAGAGATACCAACTTTCGAGTGAGACCTAACCATAAACCTTCAACACTTTCCCCCCCATCTATCAGATTCAACTCTTACCACACATCCCCAAACCACCTCTCTGACCCTTACCCCGCTAATGAAAGGCCTTCCACGATTCAGACCCCAAATTCGGATCTCAGGGTCATATGCCCTGGTCAAGAAAAGGCCGAGTTCGTCAAACTCAGAAAAGTCACAGTCAGGTAGCTCAGCAGTCTGGTCCAACAGGCATCAGCGAACAGTCACATCTCAGGGACAAGAGTCAGTGTCTCATAATAAAAGCCATTTTGAGGAGTCACATCCCACAAGAGAAAAGGCAGATTCATAAGCAAGAGTCATGTCTCGAAGGCAGGGGACCAGGGGTCACGTCTCATAATGAAAAGTCTTGCTGAAGAATCACATCCCACGAGTAAAAAGGCAGATCCACAGGCAAAAGTCGTGTTCCAGAGGCAGGAGTCACAGTCCACAGTCAAAAGTCGTGTTCACAAATGAAAAGTCACGACTCAAAGGCCCAAGCAGCAGCAGACCAAAGATAATTCCGGAAGGTTCCAGGCCTTGACATTCAGAAGCAGACAGGCCATGGGGATGTGGTACCAGAACCAGCCAGGTCCCAGAAAAGCAGAGGCTGGCATGAGTTGAAGAGCATTCCAAGACTACAAAAGGACTGGCCAGCCTACCATTCGGGCAGACTGCTCATTCGCAAGAAGTGTGGAAGTGCTGGTGCACTTGTGCGCTGATGTGAGGGGCAGAGCGCTGAAGCCAGAGTGCTGCGCTAAGAGTGAGAGAGAGGAAGAAGACAGTGCTGGCAGGGAGAAGGCAGCCATAGCTGCGCCAGCGCAGGGTGTTAATGTTAGCAGTTAGTAGTAGACTTCAGAGGGATTAGTAGAGTTGACAGTGGGTGTATTCAGAGTAGATCTTTGAGCGGAAGTTAGTGTGTGTGTGCATGCATGTTGGGAGAGAAGATACAGCGAGATCATAAGCTAGGGAGAAGACCAGGAAGGAGGGGTGATATAACAGAGAGAGAAGAGCAGAGAGGAAGAAGATACTTACCTGGGTGATTATGTTGGATGTTTGGTTACCTATGACATGCGCTGTTGTGCGCTGGTGACTCGGAACTCTTATTGCTCTTGTATAACTTGTTGGAATTCATAAGCTGCGTTATCTGGTCTTAATCTCTCTGGTCTTCAGTGTGAACTTCGTGTGATCTCATAAATGCACGAGGTGTGAATATGTGCGTTCACTGGTGTTGAACTAGGAAGTTCATTGCAAACTGGTATCGGAGCAGTTACTTGTTACATCCACTGGACATCACTGGCAACGATTAAGGCCGGCGAGAAGGGAAGTTATAAGAGAGAGTTGAGTGGGGAGAAGAGTGTCGAAGGGGGGAAAGAAGAAGGTCGGAGAAGAAGTGGCTTGTTTATGTACCTGCTGCTGCTGTGTTGGAGCATTGGAGCGGCCGTGGAGCTTCATCAACGGAACGTTCATTGGAGTGAAGTGCATCCCCCCATTAAACCTGTATTGCTTGTTGACTTGTCTTGGTGTTTGGTACCTTCCCAACCTTGGTGTCGTTGCTGCTGGGCTGGTCTAAATCGTCACATACTCGACCTGCCTTGAGTCCAGAACCAGTCCGCGTATTTTAAAAAAAAAAAGGTATATATGTGTATAGTTCTGGGAAGGTATTCAGCAATTAGCAACAGTCAGACAGACTCGTGAGTTAGTAAGTAATTGGGGTTAGATCTAAGTGGTGAGGAGGTGGAGGCCGCTTACCTGTGCTTCTAGACACCATGGATGACTACCCCATGTTCTCACTTCTGGCCCTATCTGTGCTTTGGGCCCCCCTTCTTCGCTTCATCTTCCCTCTTGGTTTCCAACGGACATTTTGTTCACATGCGGTATTAAGATCTGGGAAGTCAACACAGGGAAGAACAGCTGAGGAGCAGCCAGAGATAGATCGCCGCCTCGCTGAGAAGAAAAAAGAAAACGAGGAGAGGAAAAGAAAGAAGGAGGAGGAAGTGAAGAAAAAGTTGTCGGAGGAAAAAGAAAAGTTGGAGAAGGATATGAAAGAAAAGGAGAGAAAGATGATGGAAGAATTGAAAGAAGAAGAAGAAGAAGAAGATGAGGGAGAGGCTGGAAAGGAGGGGAACCCAGCGGCAAGAAGAAAAGGGTGAAAGAAGTCATGTTGGGAAATCAGATTGCCGCAGTTGGAGGCGATGGATTGGATGGGGCAGTTCGGGTATCAAACGGAGATGCCAGAAGAAACTGAGGAAGAGAAAAATGCCTTTGTAAATAAGATGGCATTAGCGGCAGATCAGGAGGAGAGAGACTTGTTGATAGAAGAGAAGAGGGCCGAACTCAACAACAAATTGGTGGCTGCAAAAAGGCAGGAGTATAATGATAAAAAAAAAGATGAAGGAGGAGGGGGAGAGGTTGCAGGCATTGTTGAAAGAACAGAAGGGAAAGCAAGTTGCCACAGACGAACGGTTAACTCTTTTGACTGACACCCTCCTTCACACTAACGAACAACTCGCTGCCCTCCATCGATCCATCAGTAAACTAGAGTTCCATCAGGGAGAATTCGAGGGAACCTGGAACAACTTTTTGCGCACAGCGTCCCACCAAGTAGATGACCGAATCTTTGGATATCTAAAGCAATTAGATGAAGCCCTCACAAAAAAGATAACTGACCCTGCCGTAGTAAGAAAGTTGAAGATTGGAGGCGAGGGAGGAGATGGAGGCGATGATGGTGATGATGGA